CCTCTTTCCGTATTTGCGGTACAAAGTATAGTTAGAATATCAAGACCTAAAGGTTTATCTTTAGGAGTATTTTCAATTTCTTTTTTTCTATTAATTATAAGATTGGTTAAATAATCATCTAACCATTGAATATTGTTTTGATGTTTCCATTGAAAGTAATATAATGGAGGGCAAAATCTTAAATATCTTGGTAAGAAATAAACGAATTGCGCAGTAACTAGCCATGTTCGAAGTCGGTTGATTAATTCTTCGGTTGATTGAAGTTTTGAGACTTTTGAACCATTTGATGAAAGTTTGTTATAATAAGAAAGCAGAGTTTTTGCAGGTCTACCAGTAGATGTACGAGAAGATAATTCAGATTGGATTTTGACAATCCACTTGGATAAATCGACTTCATTATTATTACATTCTTTTCTTAAATTACTTAGATGACCTTGAAACTCTTTGAAAGCATGTTCAGTAGTTTTTAAAAATTGTCGTAAAAATGAAGGTAACATAACAGTTTGAGTTAAAATTCTTCTATTATATTTCCAAGAATCTAAATTATGATTAAAAAAAATTCCTTTTCCAACAGTATTGATTGCAACTTCATCGATCCATGAATGCCTGGAACGAAAAGGAAAGTTTGTTTTTGTTGAAGGAATATGCATCTTCTTGATAAGTTGAGCGTCTCCTACCCAGATTACACGCGCTGGACCATTATATAATTCAAAAATTCCACCATATTTTTTTTGAAGATTAAGGAATAATATACCTAAATCGCCAAAATACATATAAATGGTTCCTAATAAAATAAATAAAATAAGAATTCGCTAATATGACTAAAAGCTAGTAAACCAAGAAAAACATTGCAAAAAAAATTATATATACCAATTATTGGAAGTGGAAATGGACCTGGTAGAGGACTGTAACGAGTAAAATAAAAATAATAAAATTTTGCCGAATAAGCCAAGAATAAGAACAAGAAGACTGATAGCCATTCTTGAAAAGTTTGAGGAACTAGATGAAAAATTGCTTGAGTAAGGGAACCCATTTTTTTTGTTAACGCAATCTTTATTAAGACATGCTATTTTATATTAATACTTATCATTTAAGTATTGATACCTTTGTAGCACGAGATGAAGCCAAAAAAAAAACTTTGTCATTAAAAAATGAGACATCGTCGAGCCAAATGAATCGTTGCTATGCGCTATGAGAATATAAATTAACCAAATTTATTTTAAATTAACAAATTACATATAATATAATGTCAGATAAGACATAATGGTATTCATTTTATGTATTCAAGCTATAATGATTTATTTATACTATTGTACTATGATTTATTCATTGTGCGTCTAGCATCACGTGTTTTGTTTGTACTACATTACAGTATTCGAGTTTAACAACGGGTCGAAACGCTAGTATATACTATATTTGTGTTTGTTTTATTTAGATAATGAAGGGGGGTTATTATTTAAACAAATGACAAATCTCCGGAATGTCTAATCATAGAAATTGGTGAAATAGAGTTAAGGTTGATAAAACTGATTGGATATCATGTAAAACAAAATATTGTGCTGCATAATGTATCACATTCAGGGTTTGCAATTACAAATCAAGAAGCATTGAGAATATACTATTTCGATTGATCATCTCTTGATCATCTCTATGACTGATTTTTTATTGTTTCTTTTTTCGTATAGATTGATTCCATTACTTTATGCGCATAAACTCATTTTTTCTCGAGTAATATAAACTTTAATAAATAAGTAGCTGCGCAACGTTGTCGCGCGAAACCAGGAACGGGAAAGTAGCACATTACAATGTTGAATACTAATGAC